AACTGCTATAAGAAACACATTAACTCATTTGAGCTTAGTAATTAGTACCGAACTAGCTTACATTTGATGTACCTATTACAATAGTCCCTTTACAGTTACTGCTATCATAAAAATACACTAATATGTAGGTTTAAAATTCTACAAAAGACACATTTTAATGTCCAACAAATATTTTAGCAAAATGTATATTTTACTCAGAATTATTGCGCTCCTATTCGATTGCGCTCTGTCTGTTTAGCGTGCATGCGGGCAGCAGCGCTCGCTCACTCGCGTAAGCCTCGCCCACTCCTGACAGCAAAATGGATATGTTTGCGTGACTTTCTGACATTTACGGATAAAAAAATATACCTGTGACATGTCAGTTATGCACTGAGGAAAACACGATGTCTCAAATGCATTAAACAGCACAGATATATACGCTGTTTGCGATTGTGGATCGATTTGATCCATGATCAACATTAAGGGCTGCTTAAGAATGAGCGTGCACAAATTAGTGAGATTGTGTGAAATTAATTTGTCATTTATGGAACCGCTTTAGCCCCGATTTATTTGTTAGTTGTTATTTCAAGTCAGGTTTTGGACTTTAATCCCCGCTTTTCCTCGGGTCTCCTGCAGTGTTGTGGTGATGCGTCACAATCACGCAGCAGCAGTGATGAGAGAACCCACTTGAGAAACAGTTTAGAAAGGAGAAATCAATCTACATATAAAATATTGGTCACAGATTATTGGTCACTTTCTAAACAATAAAAGTATAGCGCATCCACTAGTAATTATATATTAATAAATCGGTTTCTACTGATGCAAATATGTTAGAAACGATGCATCGCGACACAATTTGTATTCTAACCCTTTAACCCAATTTTGCTTCTCTGCTTGTGTTTAGATCATTTTAAGCCGCTAAACTCCGGGAAACTTTTCAGGCCAATGATCCAGTAAGTGAATGCATTCAAACAATCCGTCCAAAACAGCACTAATATAAAGGAAACCAGGCTGATTACATCAGAGATTGCAGAGACTCGCGTTGCGTTTTAAGTGAATTATTCATTCCAGTGTGTTTCGCTTTAAAACACGAACTCTGTCATATTCTGTGATTGTCTCTGAAGAGCGCGAGCCCTCACTTGTCACGCGCTTGTGTGAAGTTCAGACTGAACGGATTGTCAACTCATCCAACCGCTGTATGGCCAGATGAGACGCAAACTACGTTTTATCGACTGGATAACCAGTCTCGCTAGTAAAGTTTTGATAGATGAAGACTGCAATCAAGGTAAAGACGATTGCGGTGGCGAACGGAGTCGTACAGTACAGTAAGCACGCGTGAGTCCGTTATAATAATTGCAGTCAGCAGGCGATTGGTTTCGTTTTTTTTTTTGCCATCTCCATGTGGTCCTGTTCGGTATCGCAACTTGGCTTCTCTAAAATGTAAAAAAGCTCTTTGCTGTTGCCCTGTACACATACTACAAAATTTTGATTTTTTTTTTTCTTTCATATGTGCTTATATGGGCTCCTTAATCAGTTGGCTCTTTGGTGTCCTTTTGGAGTTTCTAAGTGTCCTTTTTTGGAAAGACATCTAAATGTATCTTGAAAAAAGCTTG